TCCTAAACTTATCCATGATTTTAGGGCCTTCAGTAGTGTATTTCTCCAATGTAGGATGATGTAGACCTCCTTGAGATGTATTTGATCTTCGGGAATGTCGGGAAGCACTTCGTCATTTCAAGTCAATCTCTGGGAAGAACTCCATTGATCACTCCTTCGAACAGTTATGCAGTTGATGTTGTAGCTTTTTCCAATTGCAGAATGCTTCTTGAAGAGTTTTCTTTACCCTCTTTGAATGTCATGTCTATCCCCTATTTATAGTTGTAGGGAGTGGACAAGTGTAAAACTCCGGAAACTAGTAGGCTAAACTAGAGGTTATCATGAGTGTTAGAGTCGTAAATGTAACTCCCCGTACTTTAAAATAAAGGGTTTTGTATTAGAACATCAAGGTACGACCCCCAAGGACCAACCATGGGTCCTTGAGGAGGACCACTAGAAACAGCCTGAGCAGTGACCTACGGAGGGGACTCATGCCTCGTGGGTCAGGCCACACCTCGTGGGTGAGGGGTCTTAGGTCAAGCTTGCAAATGAGGCTCTCTAAACACCGACCCATGCTTCACCAGCACGGGTCGTGGGTCCTACCACAATCCGTCTGTGAGGGGTTGTGGGTGGTGACCTGTAGACGGTTTTGAGGAATTAGTTAGGGGCACTTAGGGGTTTTCTGGTTTTAGTTAATATTAAGTGTCATCATTTTACACTGAATTAGACTAACTATATATTGTTTTTAGACCCATAAATTAAGTCATCTTCATCATAATTCCAAAATCCCAAATCAAAAACCAATTCTTCACAAAAAAAAATTCCCTCTCTACAAGTCCAAGGAAGAAGATTAAGGAAGTTGGGGTTAGGGTTCAAGGAGCAAGTTTTTCTCCTCAAAATCGTTGGATTTCATTGCTAAGCTATGGTAGCTCTTCATCTCCATGGAGCCCCTTCAAAACCCCAATTTCAAAGATAGAAATTCTCCAAAAGCTAGGGTTTGACTCCAAGTCATGGATTCCTTTAAAAAATGATTCTAATGGTTGAATTACTTAAAATTATGATTGAATTGATAATTTATCATGATTTTTATGTTGAAACCACAAAGAATCCATGAAATCCCCATATTCCCAATTTATGACCTTGTAATGTGGGTGAATTGATGAAAGAAGGACATTATGAGATTATGCTTGTAGTAATTGAGTTATTTGAATCATGTTATTATCCATGTCTAATGTATTAAATCTATATGTGTTGATTGAATATGTTCTTTGATCCTTGAAGGGCAAAGTATGAGAATTATGCATGATTATGAGATTTATGCATATGCTTTAAGAACACTTTGAGAGTCAAGTGATTATGATTATGATCTAGTTGTTGTTGTGTTGTTGAAAGGTTATCCTCATATACACACTTATGTATGAATAGGATATGATTTGAAAGGTTTTTCTCACAATATGATGATTCTAAGGTTGAAAGGTTTTTCTCACAATATGATGATTCTAAGGTTGAAAGGTTATTCTCATGTATTGAATCTATGAGCTATCTTATGAATTATATTGGATTGAGTGTCAAGACATTCTTCCACGAATATGAACTTAAGTCAAGACTTAATATGTAATCCGTGGGAATTAATGCTTAGCACCGAGTGGATATTGAATAGGAGATGGAAGCTTTTACGCTAGTTAATTGAGTCCGGCTTCCCAATGAAAGCTTTTACACTAGTTGAGTCCGGCATTCCAAATGGGTTCCTTCTACCTTAGTTGAGTCTGGGTTCCCAAAGTATGTATCTCATGAGATGGAAACCTTCTACCTTAGTTGAGTCTGGGTTTCTAGTAGAAATCTCCTTATCCCATAAAGTAAGTGCCCTCATAGGTATTTAGCTAGTGGATCAACCTAAGCTAAGAGTAGGGTTCTATCTTAGGCAAGTTGGACAACCCATTTTCGGTGTGGGGTAGACACCGGATTCCATGAAAAGCTCACATGGTCTATGTCGGTTAAGGCTTATTCCCCATTATGACAATAGTATGAACAAGAATATGAATTATGAACTATGGTTACTCAAGAGGCTTTACTTAGTATGGGTGAGATTATGGGATCTTATTCATGCATTGCACAAGTATGCTTTGAGGGTATTTATGATACATTCCTCTTATGGTATGATGATCAATGTAATGAATATGCTTATGACTTATGTTTTCCACTATCTTCAAAATGATGCTTTAACTTAGTAAATTGCATGCATTCAACTAAAATGTCATTTTTAGCATGTTTTCATGGTTTTTATACATAGCTATCATACTTAGTGCATTTTTGTACTAACCCATGCTTTTCTTACATTTTTCCCAAGTGTAGGGTCCGATTTTCTAGGTGGTCATCATTGTGGCTAAAGTTTGGATTTGCTTATTCTCCTAGCTTTTTGGTGAGTCCTCATGATTCGAGGACAAATGTTATCTTTGTAGTTCTTTTCTTGTTTTTCCTTTTCGGGTTATGTTATAAGGGTTGTGACCCTATTTGATTCAAGTATTGTAATAGATGGCTATGTTGAGACAAGTCTAGACTTCCACCTTTCTTTATGAAAATTTTGGACTTGAAATGTGTTTTTACTCTTTATTGTTCTATGCTTATGTTATGATATGTTAAGTGGCTTACATGGTACCTTTCGGGGTTCTATGTGCCTTGTTACATCTAGGGGGTTACCCTTGGGTCATGTTTCTTGTGATTGGCCAAAGAATGTCATTTTGACACTTGGCGCATTGTGTTTGGTTCTTGCATTTGACTGGGATTACCACCTCATTTGGACACGTGGCGTCACCTTGTTGGTCTTGGATGCCTAGTCACTGTGACACGTGGCATGGGCTAGGGCTTCAAGGTGAAATGGTTCTTGGACTTGAATTTAATAAAAATGGACTTATTTATTTGTAAAGCCCAAATTAATCATCCAACCCAAATAAACATGAATTTAATCCAAAATTCGTACGAGTTAAATCTAATAAAATTTGTGTCTCTACAAGGATCTTTATCAAATTTTTATAACTTCTCCTAATTTCTATCCCACTAGGAGTTGAACATCCCCTATATTGTTCATCTATAAATAGACCTCACGTTTCCCCATCTATAAGCATCAATTTAGAGGGTTTGTATATCATCTAATCTTCTTCATGGCTAAGAAAAATTAATGCTCAGGTAATTTCTTTTTCTGTGATATCACCCACTTCCCTTTGTTTTGTTTTTTTGTAGGCCAAAGAAAGAATATTTGTACTTTGCAGAGGCTACACAATAAATTTTTTTGTTGTTGTCGTAATACAATAATATGGTCTTGGTGTGTTTAAGTGATGTGTTTAACGTTCCTGTGTTAAGATCACAAATTTGTGATTTTAGGAGATATTGAATACTTGAGCATAAGATGTTAAGGACTGTGTATAATGTCTCCGCCTTGAGATCACTAATTTAAGGCATTATGAAATTCCAAATATACTTAAGCATAAGGTGTAATGCGATAAATTTTATCCATCTTAAGGCATGAATTTATTAGTTAGATGTATTATAACATTTTTATTGACGAAATAAATAAAATGATAAACCAATTTTATACTATATAATTATATATATAGAGAAAAAGATCAGAAAACTGTCATCTCTTGTCTCTCTATTCCTAATACTTTTTAGTATTTATTTGCTTATAGATGAAAGGCATATTTGTTTTATACACTTCCATTATAATAAATATATAAGACACATACAATTCATGTTAAGAAAAAATATTGGTCAAACACATACACAACCCTTTAAACTTGCTCTCATTTTTCATTTTGGCACTCCAACTTAGCCTTGTTCCATTTTAACCCTTAAACTCCATTTTTTTTTAACATTTAAACACTAATACCAATTTTTATGATTTTTTATTTATTTATGTTCTTCAATTGCAATTTTTTATTTTTTAAAAAATAGACGTGTGTCTGTTAATTTTCGTAAAAAAATTAAACATTCGCGAACGAACATAAAAATTTTCAAACAATAATATTATTTTTTGAGATTTCTCTGTATTTTTGCATGAAAGTAAATTGACGAAAGTTCTTTGATTTTCTTACTTAAACATTCAATTAAATTAAATAACACTACTTATTTATTATTTCTTATCATCTAGGCTATTTAAATTTAACGCAAATACTCACTTTTTATTTTTAATATAAATCAATACGAATAAAAAAACTCATCTTCAATACGAGTAAAAAAGACTCTTGTTCATTGCTAATAACAGTACTAAAAAATGTTAAAACTCGATTGACTTTAATTTGTTAGATTGTCGGTGATTTTTAAGAAAGAAAACCAACACAATTTCGTCGGTTATTTATCACATAAAAATACATAAAACTCTTAAAAAGAAATTGCTTTTTAAAAAAAAGAATTAGTTTTTGTTAAAAAAATTTTTTAACTAAAATTAACTGACACATGTCGATTTAAAATAAGAAGTTGCAATTGAAGAATATATATAAAAATAAAGAAATCATAAAAATAGTATTTCATGTTAAAATGGTACATAAAAAATGAAGTTTAAGGATTAAAATGGAACAAGCCTAAGTTGAAGTGTCAAAATGAAAAATGAGGGCAAGTTAGAGGGATGGTATATGTGTTTGGCCAAAAATATTACTACCATATATGTTTTGATTTGACATAGTCAAGATGTAGTTGATGATGAGAATAAGTACAAGGGAGAAGAAAATAATTGAAAATTGTAAAAGGGTAATAAATGATGCAGCAATGAGATTGAGAACTTTGTAAGAATTTGGAAAGCACGTGCAGTGTAGAGGCAATTTGCCTAACTAATAGGAATTTGGACCATGCTATAGTGCGACTTTCAAGGCTTAAATACTTTATTATCGTCCTCGTGTATTTGTTTACTCATTCCACGTTGTGTCATACATATTCAAATAAAATAAGGAATCTTTTCATATGCATGTACACACATAAATGATTATTGTATAAATATAATATACAATTAGCTACTCTCTCCACCTAATTCAATGGCATCAAGACATGAATCACAACTCTCTTCTTCATCTTTCCCCCTTCCCAAAACCAGGTAATTACTTATAACAATACTCTCATTTTTCGATTTTTAGCGGTAATTACATTTTAATGTTGTTTGTAATGTCACTAAAGCCTATAGCGACATTAAATATTTATTGATGTTTTTTGTTGTAGTTGTGGAATTAATTTAGATGTGGTTTTGGAAAATGTAGATGGTGGTCGAAAGAGACAGTGGCAATAGTGACAGGTGGAAACAAAGGCATAGGTTTTGCTTTTGTGAAAAGAATGGCTGAGTTGGGATTAACAGTCATATTAACTGCTAGAGACAATGCAAGAGGAATAGAGGCAGTTGAGTCTCTAAAGAAATTGGGGTTGCATCTCTATTATCACCAGCTTGATGTTTCAGATATTTCATCCATTAAACAATTTACTTCATGGTTCACCAACAATTTCACTGCATTAGATATATTGGTCAGCTTCCTCTATCATCTTTGTTTTTCCTTGTTTTTATATAATTTTTTTGGTTTCTTCCGTATTAAAATCCGATTAAATTTAAAGTTACATTACAAAAAAGTCTCACATTAGGTTGGAGTAGGACGACTCCATAACTCGAGACACTATATCAATAATTAATTAAGTAGTTAAAAATATAAAATACTCATCATTGTTCTCATTAATTTTCCTTTTTCTTTGTTAATCAAAAATGGAGTACTATACATGTCTATATATGAAAATTGAAAGTTGAGCTTATTGTTGGTCATAGATTATGAAGTTAAAATTTGAAAAAAAAAATGAATTTTTAAAAATTGTGTTTGAATATGTATTTTATTTGAATTTTTTTAAAAAAATATTGAGTGAAAATCCGAAAAATTAATCTAAATAAATTTTTGAGAATTTAAAAATAGTTAAAGATCAGATTTTGTGTTATTATATTTATATATGATATTTTGTACTTTTAGCTCCTATCGATATAACTAATGTTACGCTATATCTTATTATAAGAAAAGAGTCAAAATTGCTTTTGAATCATGCGAAATAGATTATTTATATCCTCCGTTACATTTTGAGATTTAAAAAAATTTCCGTCGTTATCCCAAGAGAACATAAATATCCTCGATGGAGCATTTTTTTTATCATAAAATGTAATAGAAGGTATGAATGATCTAATTTTACATAGTTCAAGGACAATTTTGACTTTTTTTCCGTATAAATTAAGTTCATGTAAGTTGTAAAAGCCGAATAGTCCTTTCGTTTTATCGATTTTAAAAAAAAAATCTAGCACTATCTTTTCTCTCTTTTATTTCCAAACGTTATATAGATTTTAGAGTTTTTATTGTCAATATAAACAATAATTTAAAATTGATTTTTATAAAGAATAATTTAAAATTGAGCATCGATTGTTAATCTTGAAATATTGATATCAACAAGTTATTCTGATTAATTTGTTTTATTGTTTTATAGGTAGGTAAGTCCATAATATAGATTAAAAGGTAGAAGAACATCATATAAGAATAAAAAGAGATAAAATTAAAGTTGATAATTTGAAGGTTTAATGGATAATTGAGATAAAAGGAGAAGAATGTGTATAACTATAAGTTGAGGGAGATCTTTAAAGAGAAGAATCAATTAATTTTTATTTTGTTACTCCCTCCGTCCTATTTTATATGTCACATTTTTATTTTGCACTTGCATTAAGAAATGATGTAACTTTACCCTTCTACCATTATTTAATGTTTTCTTAAGTCAACTTTATTAATAAATGACAAGATTAATTAACTATTCTATTAAGGGTATAATAGGTAAAATATGGTAATTTATGCATAAATTTCATAAAATAACAAATATTGTGATTCAACTATTTATAGAAAGATATGACATATCAAATGGAACAGAGGGAATAGTAATTTAAAATATCACATGGGTTCAAGTAATGACACAGACACGTCATCTCTTGGGTTGATTGGTGAATAGTCTTGCCCATTGTGAATTATGTGTGTTGTTAATAGAGTTGGGAAATTTTATTAGACTCTACAAAGATGTGTGAGATTCTATAAGGTATGATCAATTCTAATTAGAATTTTTGGAGGCTACTTAACCCTAAATTCTAGTTCATGTTTATATAAATTGTACTATATTTCTTTGAAAAGTCATCTCGAATATCTCAAAATATCTTATAAACTCTAAGTTATTTTTAATGATCAACATTTCGAATATTCCGCAAATTCATGGAATATTCATATAAAGGTCAAATCTAAATCATTCTAGTTTGAGAAATACGTCACTAATGACCCTCGAATCATGGATAAATTTTATGAGAGTAAAATCAAGAGAGGAACAGAGTTATATCCGCACTATTTTGATGAATAAAATTATGTTTCTTCATATTTTTTTGTGATTGTAATTTTAAAAATGTGAGTGAGTTGTCAGGTAAATAATGCAGCTGTATCATTCAACGATATCGAGGAGAACTCAGTGGAGCATGCAGAGACAGTAATATGCACAAATTTTTATGGTCCCAAACGACTCATACAACAACTCTGGCCCACCTTTCGTTGCTCTTCCACTGTCACTCGAATTCTTAATATTAGCTCCAGACTTGGACTTCTTAGTGTAAGTGTATTAGTATTTGTTTTCTGTGTTTGTATTATTATTATTATTAATTATTTTATATTGCAGAAGCTGAGAAATGAAGAACTAAAAAGTATGCTATTGGATGAAGAAAACCTATCTGAAAAACAAATTGAAGGATTAGTGAAGTTATTTTTAGAAGATGTTAAAAATGGGACATGGAAAAGCAAAGGTTGGCCAAAATTATGGACTGATTATGCTGTATCAAAGCTTGCATTAAATGCATACTCTAAAGTGTTGGCTAGAAAGTATAAAGGAAAGGGTATAAGTGTCAATTGTTATTGTCCTGGATTTACACAGACTTCTATGACTGGTGGGAAAGGGAAGTACACACCACAAGATACAGCTGAGATAGGAGTAACATTGACTTTGCTACCACCACAACATCTTCCAACAGGAATGTTTTATCTAGGCTCTAATCCTCCAAACATTTACTCCAAGCTTTAACACCATCATGTCATCATTGTATCCAAACCTCTCCACATTACAAATGTCTTTGCCATCTAACTTTTTCTATTAGTAATAATTATTTATTCATTTTGGGCTCTCATTTCTACAAATTGACAACAACCAATATTTCATTTTATGAAATTCCTTCTTGTTGTACCCTGAATTTCCAAACAGACTCAAGTGTATTGTTTAAATGAAAAATCGATAGGTCACAAAACAATTTTAAATTAACTATTTGTTGGGAAAGGCAAACACAAAATAAATGTGACGACAGCGCAATAGCGAAAGAAAATCCAAGTCAAAACTTTTCCTTCTATTTGAACCAAGAGAAAACAAAATAATGCAAGAACAAACTGTTTGGGCAGCAAACAAATCAACCATGTAAGAAAAATAAATCAACACACGAGATGCCAAATTTAATGTGGAAAACATTTTCGATGTGAAGAGTAAAAACCACAAGGCCAAAGTTCCACTAAAATCAACAAGAGTTACAAAAATGTTCTCCAAAATGGTCACCAACAAAGTGCCAAACAATGAGCAATACAACTACAAGATAGCACAAAAAACTAGAGAAATAAAAGAAGCAAAAACACCAAACCTGCAACTACTGTTCACGAGCTAAAATATGGGGCTATAGGACTCCAAATGACCCTCTCTCAGTTCCCAATCAAAGATCAAGTTGAAAGGAACAAGCTATCCAAAAATCAGATCAATCGGATAAGAAACGAAGCGGAAATCGTGATTTGAAATTGGGTGCTAGGGCTTGTGCGAAAATCTGCACTTTCTCACTTTTCTCTCTATATGGCTGCTCTCAAACTCTTGTGATTCTTCTCAAAATAAGACCTAAAAGAAAGTCTTACATATACACCATAATATTGGGCTTATGGGCAAAGTGGGCTAGTCAAATTTGGGTTAAATTTATCCACAAAGGAACGGAAGAAAGACCCAAAACTATTGAACTTTTATTTATCCACATAGGAAGAGAAAATGCCCAAAACCCAACAACTCTCCCCCTATCGACTATGTGGAGGAAACCTCCATCCCGGCAATCATGCAACATTCTTCAAACTTCCCTCTTGGCAAAGCTTTAGTCATCATGTCGAAACCATTATCATTGGTATGGGTTTTCTCAAGTTCAAGCAACTTAGAATCCAACACATCTCGAATCCAGTGATACCTCACATCAATGTGTTTAGATCGACCATGAAATGTAGAATTCTTGCCAAGATGAATAGCACTTTGACTGTCACAATAAAGCACATACCTCTCTTGAGAACAACCAGGTTCCCCCAAAAATCTCTTTATCCAGATCAATTCTTTGCAAGCTTCAACAGTTGCAATAAGCTCAGCCTTTGTAGTAGATAAAGCTACACATTTTTGCAATCTAGATTGCCAAGACACAGCTCCCCCTGCAAAAGTAATCAAGTAGCCTGAAGTAGACTTACGAGTATCAGCATCACCATCCATGTCTGAATCAGTATAACCATAAAGAATAGAATTTCCTGTACAAAAACACAAAATCAGACTAGAAGTACCACAAAGATATCTCATAATCCACTTTACAGCATTCCAATGCTCTCTTCCCGGATTAAAAAGAAAACGGCCAACAATACCAACAACATGAGAAATGTCTGGTCTTGTACACACCATTGGCATACATCACACTACCAACAGTTGAAGCATAAGGAACTTTCTTCATTTATTCCTTCTCACCATAATTGGAAGGACAATGTCTAGTACTCAATTTGAAGTGCATAGCTAAAGCTGTACTGACAACCTTAGCTCTGTCCATGTTAAATCTACGAATCTGAATGTACTTCTCTTGTGACAACCACAACTTTTTGGCATCTCTATCACAGACAATCTGCATGCCAAGAATCTGTCTTGCTGGTCCTAAGTCTTTCATAGCAAAAGACTTATTCAACTTTTTCTTCAACTTTTTGATCCTGCAAGAATTATGACCAACAACAAGCATGCCATCAACATAAAGCAAAACGATAATAAAGTCACCATCATAGAATTTTTGCACAAAAACACAATGCTCTGAAGAAGGCTTCTTGAAGCCCTGCTGACTCATAAAAGAACCAAACTTCATGTACCATTGCCTAGGAGCTTGTTTTAGACCATACAAGCTCTTATTCAATTTGCAAATATAATTCTCTTTACCCTTGACTTCATAGCCTTTTGGCTGATCCATATAAATTTTTTCATCCAAGTCACCATGGAGAAAAGCATTTTTAACATCCATCTGTTCAACCTCCAAGTCTAGACTTGCAGCCAAGCCTAGAACCACACAGATGGATGACATCTTCACAACTTGAGAGAATATCTCATCAAAATCAATTCCCTTTTTCTGGTTGAAGCCTTTCACAATTAATCTAGCCTTGTACCGTGGAACTGGGTTACCATCTTCATGTTTCACTCGAAAAACCCACCTGTTTTTCAAAGCTTTTTGATCTTTAGGTAACATAACCAAATCAAAGGTCTGATTATCATGTAAGGACTTCATTTCATCATCCATAGCATTAAACCATATTTCTTTTTCTTCACTTTCCATGGCCTCATCAAGACTCTCAGGTTCTCCCCCGTTAGTCAAGAGTACGTACTCATTGGGAGAATAACGAGATGATGGTATTTTTTTTCTAGTAGATCTTCTGAGAGAACTCTCTGGAGCATTAATAATAGTTGGTTGTTGACCAACTACATCGTCTTGCACTAGATCATCAATGGCATACTGGTCATTCTGAATATGATCACCATCTTCAATATCAACTTGAAGATTTTCACCTGGTGGAATAGTTAAAGGAACTGGATCAACATCAACTAGGCTATCACTACTCTGAGAATCAACTTTCTCAGCTTTGTCAAGATCTTCAATTGTTCTGTCTTCAAAGAACACAACATCACGGCTTCTAACAAGTTTCTTCTCAACTGGATCAAAGAAACGATAGTCAAATTCATCTTGACCATAACCAACAAAGATACATTGCCTAGTTTTAAGATCCAACTTTGACCTCTCATCCTTAGGAACATGCACAAAGGCTTTACACCCAAAATCTTTAAGATGATCATAAGAAACATTCTTACCAGACCAAACTCTTTCAGGAACATTACCATTCAAAGCAACAGTAGGAGATAAATTGATAACATAGGCAACAATATTAAGTGTTTCTTCCCAAAAGGAATCTCGCAACTTAGCATTTGAAAACATACATCTAACCCTCTCAACAAGAGTTTTATTCATCCTCTCTACTAAACCATTTAGCTGGGGAGTATTCGCAGGGGTTTTATGATGCCAAATACTGTAATACCCGTAAACTGGTGAACTAAACTAGAGAGTTCTAGAGCCTTGTGCTAGAGGTTTAGAGTTTGATGTGAGGGATAAAATCATCAAAATGATTCCCGTACTTAGAATGAGGGTTTTAGGGTTAGGGCGTCAAGGTACGACTCCCTAAGGACCAAGGGTCCTTGAGGGGGACCCAAAATAGTCCCTAAAAGCTGCCCAAAAATGGGCCACCTACGGATGGGACTCACGCCCCGTAGGTGGACCCATGCCCCGTAGGTGGGGATCATGGGTCAAGGCCTGCACTTACCTACAACATTTAGCCACACTCTAGCACCTACGAGTGTGCAGCACGATTAATAGACCCACACACGGTCCGTGGGTGGGGGTTTCGTGAGTGGGGCAAATTTTTAGTGAGTTAGTTTTTAGTTGGGGGCTTAGGGGTTAATTAGTAATTAGTTAAGATTTAAGAGAGGTCGGTTAGTTAGTTATTAAACCACCTATATAAGTCTAATAGATCCCTAAACTAAGTCAATTAGTTCATTCTTCCAAGACCCCAAATTCTCTCTCTAGAAGTGAAGAAGAAGAAGAAGAAGAGGAGAATGAAGTAGGGCAGATTTTCCTCCATTGTTTCAAGTTTGGTTAGGGTTTTGAATTATGGTATGTTAGCTTAATCATTTATGGGTTCTTCCACCCATAGACCCCCCTAGGTTTTTCCCCAATTGTGAAGTCAAAACCTAATTCTAGCTAGGGTTTCTTCTAACATTGTGGATAGTGTTTAGGTATGATTCCAATCTAGTGGATAATACCTAATTATGAATGATTTAGCATTGAATTATGATATTATGATGAATTTATGTGATTTCTATGGTTAACCCTAGTCTAATTGATGAATTTGATATTGTGTGAGTTTATGCCATGAAAGGTGAAATTGAAAAATTAGAATTGATCTTCTAAAATCAATGTCATGTGTAGTAATTATTCAAGGTTAGTAACATATAGACATGAATTGAACTAGACTTTATCATATATGATGGATCTTGACTTGTAAAGTTTGAAGTTGAACCTTTATGATGAATTATCACTAGAATCACCTAGTAAGGAAGAATAAGATTAGAATACCTTGAAAACTAGGTATGAATATTGATTGTAGAAGTGAAGCTTTGAGAATAGGGCTTGTAGTCATGAATGTTGATCACTAGGGCTTGAGAGTAAAGCTAATATGACTAACTATAGATGCCAAGGCTTTGAGAGTAAAATCTACATGTGAATAGAAGGCTAATGAATAGAAGGGTGATGAAAGACCCTTATATACCTAATTCCCCTTATGAATAATAGATGGTAGGAAGTGATAGAATCACTTGAGTCATGATGATATCCTTGTCTAATGTAGAATTCTAGACATGATATTAGGCATGAGTATGAACTTAACATGAAAGGGGTTCTCACAAAGTGATGGTTCTAGGGTTTTGAGGGAAAATCCAATGTGATGAATTATGTATGTTAAGGCTCCAAGAGTGAAGATTATGAGATAATGGTAGACTATTAGATAGAATGGTTATGATAAGACCTTACCACCTAATTTACCTCATGAAGGTTTGGATGTATAAAGTGATAGAATCACATGGGTTAGGAGGGTATCCATGTCTAGTGCTTGAACCCTAGGTGGGATGATGGAAAGTAAGAGCTGAACCTCAAGGAGGTGAAGTATGAG